ATGTATATATATATATATATATATATATACTGTATATATAAATAAATATATGTATGGATATACATATACACTATATATATACATATATATATACATGTGTGTGTGTGTGTGTGTGTGTGTGTATACATAATAGAAGGTTAGGCTTTATCCACCTACGGCTACGTCTTTTCCCCAAAAGAATAATTGTTGTTTTTCACGCCTATTTGCACGTCTGGAAAACTGCATTGGCCCAGTTTGTCATCAGCAGAACTTGTGAATAAACACAATTACTTGAGTCCAGCAGCAGATGAGCCCAGGGCCAGGAAACTAACGAACGATGGAGAATTGAAGCGAGACTCCAGCGGGAATCAGAGGGAAAACAGCGGGATATTGGGAAAATCCACAGAATAATTCCACTGCAAATATGCAAAATAAATCTTATAATTTCAAGTTTATTACCACCCAGAAGGGGGGGGGGGGGGGGAGGGGGTTCTTTTCTTGGTTCTGTGCCTCTCCATCCTTCTCTAAACATAGGCCAAATCTTAAGTTTGAAATTCCAAACTTTATTTTCTCATTTTCTACATTTTTATAACTCCTTTCTATGTTTGTTCTGTGTTTTTTTTTTCAGGAGCAGATATAGTAACGTGGCTGATGAGGAACTTGTCCATTGACGATGCAGGTAAATCAGGCCGTGGTGATGAAAGCGGAATTTAAAGACATTTATTTTTGTATTTTATTGAGTGACAGCAGCAGCCACTGATTTCATGCATGAGAGCTGCAGTTTGTGTTGGTTTAAAGTGTCTTTGAGTTTCGTTGACCCCGTGTACAGTATGTTGGCGGCAGAGCTGTGTTGATTGTTGGTCCAGTGGCCCACGGCGTTGAGTCACTGGTTGAGTCATAACGTACACGTATGTCCTGCCGCTAACCTAGAGTTGTTGATTGGTAAAAAACAGTCTTGATAATAGAGTCTTGATAATCTTTCAAGTGAAAGTGTTTTGTCACATTTTTGCTCAAGGCTGCTGTTTTCACAATGAATCCTTACTTATTGGAATGATCTGCTCTGACCCGTTCTCCGTGTTGTGCTCCTGTCGCAGCTGAAGCCATGCACCTTGGCAGTCAGATCGCAGCTCAGGGCTACATCTTCCCGATCTCCGACCACACTCTCACCCTCAAAGACGACGGCACCTTCTACCGTTTTCAGGTGAGCGCGGTCACCGCCAGGAAGAAACACAGGTGGAAATCAATGTTTTGGAGACTGTTGTAGGGTTAATTCCAACTGCATCTTATTTTGGTTATAATACAGTCACACTTCTCTCCTTGATGCATTTTGTAAATTGTTCTTTTCCAGTATGAATGTCACATTACAGCACATTACTTTTACCCCACCTTCCCCACCTGCCCCAGCTGATTAAACCCATCCTCCAACTACGGAGCCAAAAGACAATTTGTTCAATTTTTGAACTGAACATCAGTCTTAATCTTGATGCCGATGTCCATCCTCTGCTCCAGCTCCAGTAATACGCTGGTTTCTCTGGACCCCATTAAAAATGAATGCTGATGTGTTAAAATATTCATTAAGGCTGTTGAGATGGGGAAAGTGAGGGAGAACTGGGTCCGAGCCGGGCGAGCGAGCAGCTCGACATCAAGTCGTACGTCTGATGACAGTAGTCAGGCCAGGAAAAGCTCCAGATGACGCAGCGCGACCTGCAGTACGTACGCAAGAAGTTGAGCTTCCGGGTTAGAGACACACACCTGTGGTTGACTGATCGGTGTATAGACATAAACATTAATAATAATAACTGCGATTTCTCCTCCTAAGGCCAGTTCACTCTGACCTCCATGTGAGTGTTGCTGCAAAAGCACGAGAAGAGGTTTAATGAAAACAGATGGTGTGGTGAGCAGTGACCTGAAGTTTTTGTCCTTCAAAGTAAAGTAGACGAGGAGGAAGAGAAGCTGGAGGAGGAGGAGGAGGAGGAGCAGGGCTGTTTGTCATAGCAGAGAAGCTTCATCAAGATAATCACAGTTCATTAACATCTCAGGCGAATGACGAGCCAAACAAAGGGAAACAGGGAAGAACGGGAATCAAAACAATCCACGTGCTGCTGTTTTCTCTCTCATTAGAACAGCAGACGTGGGTTCACAGGAGTGTGACTCCAGGTCCTGTTAGCTCTGTGAAACAGACAACATCAAATAACCACATCTGCTGCTTTTTATTGTTTCCCACTGTTTACACTGCGCTGTTTGTTTTATCTGGCCGCGGCGTCGCTGCAGCTGAGAACGGCTCGAAAACGTAGGAGAAGAACGTGCTTTATCTGAATCATTGTAGTCTGGATCATAAAAACATACAGACATGTCTTGATTGCTGGGTTAATGGTTCATGACAGCTGTGTGCAGTGGCTGTGTCTAAGCAGTGAAACACTTGACTGGTAAAACGCCTCGGGCGCTGCTGTTGTAAAGTTTGGAAACACCACATTATGGAATGACTGGGAAACTAAAGTGTGTGTGTGTTTTTGTGTGTGTGCAGTGTTTGCAAAAAATGCACTTATTTTTGTGTCTTTATTTTTGTCCCCATCAGGCACCGTATTTCTGGCCGTCCCACTGCTGGGAACCTGAAAACACAGATTATGGTGAGAATCTACGAGTAACGCTCAGCTAACAACAAAGAACAGAAAAACAGAACAGTCTTGGAACCTTTTGACTTTGTGTATTTAATCAAATTTGGATATATTGCCTATCAATTATGTTGAGGCTATAAAATGTGAATACAAAGGCTTGAGGTGTTTTAGCTGGAAACTAGTGAAGCTGTGAAGTTTACCAGAACTAAAGGAAAATTGAACTGACGAGTCCATCAATTTATAATAATAATAATAATAATACGTATGATTAATTTGATTAAACTCAGCTTTTGTATGTTTGTACATGAAGAATCCTCAGTTACCTGTAAACCTCTCGTCCTTTCTGTCACTGAAGCAGTCATGTCTGATATTTCTTTTTTTCTTTTTTGCACTTCACCTCCAAATCCTCAGCAGCAGATAGACAGACTTACTGGGGCGGGTGGAAAATAGATGGAGGAGTGCATGGATGAGTGGAGGATGGATGGTAGAGTGGAGTGTCAACAGATAAGACCCAGTTTCCACTTTTAAAACTTCTCTCTCTCCCTTCCTCTCTGCCTCTCTCTCTCTCCCTCTCAGCTATCTATCTGTGCAAGCGAACCATGCAGAACAAGACGAGGCTGGAGTTGGCAGATTATGAGGCGGTGAGCCTTCGACTCTTCCTCTCCCTGAGCTGTTTCCTCTTTGTATCGATTTGTTTGTTGAGCATGAAGACAGACAGCCACCAGTGACCTTGACTGAACTTATTCACAATCTTAACTGCATTTTTGACATCTTGGAAAAACAAATGAATCAGTTTTTATTCTGATTTTGAAAAATCATCAATGTCATTGTTAATGTGTATGTGATATCCAACAGGAGAACCTGGCCAGGCTGCAGAGAGCATTTGCCAGGAAGTGGGAGTTTATCTACATGCAGGCCGAGGCCCAGGTCAAGTAAGTGTGAACCGTTACCATGGCTACCAATCAAACTGCAGAGCACAGCTGTAGCAACGATGGAACTCACATCGAAAGGTGTCGATTTAAGAAAAAAAAAGAAACAAATAGAAAACAGTGTAATGTCAGTGTGTCATCATTTACAGTGAGCGCTGCTGATAAACGTCATGAAACCTCCTGGACTGTAGTTTGTAACCGCAGCGCAGTGGAGAGGACACAGGTCTGAGCTTAATGACACCATAAATCTTTTCTTTTTTTGAGGCAGCAGTGATGGATATCAGGCTGCTGGAGCAGACAGACAGTTATCACAGGTTGCAGGAGGTGGAGCATGTAGTTTTACTGCCTGTACATCTGTTTTTGAGAAAGTGTCCTACTGAAAAAAAATACAGGGGAAAGAAATGGTAACTAAGGTTTGTTTGTTTCAACATTAACCTCTGAACGGAGAGCATGGATTTAGCTTTGACTCAGAATAATGTTTTCTTTATAATATCTCATAAATCCAAAATCTAATGTTTGAAATGGGCACAGAGTAACACTATAAAAATAGTTTTAAAATAAGACAACTCAGTTTTGCATGACACGCCCAGGTTGAAAACAGACTTAAACTGATCTCCACCAGCTCCTCTTCTTCTCCCTGTTCCATCTCATGTCGATGCCTCCGGAGCTGAACCGTCGCTCACACTGACTCATCTCATTCCCAGGATTGACAGGAAAAAGGAGAAAACCGAGAGGAAGATCCTTGACAGCCAGGAGAGGGCCTTCTGGGACGTCTACAGACCTGTGGTGAGACACTCAACACACACGTCCGTCCACGCTCTGAGGCTTTTCCTTCACTCGGTTGTTTGGTTGGTCGGACAAACAGAGCTGAAAATATATTGATTCACTTTCACATAAATGATTCATTTCCGGGCCACATGTGGTCACAGCGCGGAGTTGAATGTTGATTTAACGGCTGCTTTACACTCATGACGACGTCATCAAGAAAAATAGAAAGAGCGGTTGTATTTTTTGTGATTTGGACCAATTCGATGTGATGTCATGAATGAACAGGAAGTTGAGAGGCTGACCTTAAATATTTAAACCCGTTCTCACGTAAGGCGGACAATTATTTATTGTTTTGTTTTTGTTCTTCCAGCCTGGAAGTGTGAACACCACAGAGATGGACATCAGAAAATGCAGACGCATCAAGAACCCTCATCGAGTCAAAAAGGTACGAGATCCAAGAATGAGCACATTAGTACTCCTTAGAAAAGAGTTATTTTTGAACATGGACCCAAAACAGTTATTTATAAGCTGTGTGCTCAATGTGACCCATGGTTTTGATGTTTGAAATTACTCACAACTTCTAATCTGCACAATCCACTCGCCACATATTTTAATCTCTCTAATCTAATCTGGAAAATAACTGTCTTTTATTTATGTATTTATTTGTAAAAATGTACATGTGTTGTCTTCTTTGATGTGGACTTGACTTTGACTAGGACTGAGACACAAGTTATTGTCTTTGAAAGGTGGGACTTGTCCTGGTCCAGAATCTCAGTTCTTTCTTTTTAACCTGGATTCAAACATTATAAACTTAATTTAGTTGATGCTTTTCTCTAATGACTTGTTATTGATATTGAGTGATTAAAAAAAAAACTTAATTACAGAACGATGAAAAAATGGAGTTTAATTAACATTAAAATGTATAATTTTGAATAGTTTCCATGGTACCTTAGTTGCCTAGAAATGAAATTAAAAATAAATGAACCGTCGCCGCTGCCTCTGTAGGTTCATGTTTATCATTTATTTCTCTTTGGATGTATTTTATATATTTTAATTTGCTAGACTGATAAAAGAATTATTCCTTCACATTATTCACACACGTCTTATTCTATGACTTCTCCTCATGCATCACGCTCAACCATCCAGTCGGTGTACGGCGTAACCGAGGAGGGAACTCAGTCCCAGAGCCCCATTCACACTCCATCCCACCACTGCAGGAAAGGCACCAAAGAGGACGTGGAGAAAGAGGTACAAAAATAAAATAAACAAAATAAATTAAAAAACGCGCAGCAGATGTTAAAACATGCTTTTGATTGAGTCATATTTCAAAAAAAGACGATGAAAAAGTCAGTGCCTGATTAAAGTTGGATGACGGCCGCGGTGGCTCCTCCTGGGGCTGAAATGTGAGTGTGTTCACGATGACGTGGTTGTTGTTTGAGCTACGTGTGATGCTCTACATGCAAAGGTCAAGTGCTGGTGCTGCTGGTGGCTGCCTGATGAGAGTGTGGCCTGGTCACGTCTGCTCAGGGGTCAGGATGAAAAAGAGGGGAGATAAAAATAGGGACTGGATCCTGGGAGAGAAGCAGCGTCATCAGCAAAAGAGAACAATTTTTTTATTTCTATGAACCTTAGAGGAAAAAAAGGCCTGAGCTTAGCTTGGTATGTTGTACTGATGATGTAGTTCTTATTCTGTCCACAAGGGGGCACAATTTAATTAGATAAAATGCTCATTGTGTCTTTAAGCTTTGTCATGTTTTAGGCTTCAACATTGACTTCTATTTTTCTTGTTTGTTTTTTTTTTTCTCCTAAAACAAATGACTTGGGTTTTTTTTTCTCCTAAAACAAATGACTTGACTTGATCTGATGATCTATTTCAGGATACCTGTTACCTTTTTTCAACATATTTTTTAAAGTAATCATTTAAGATTTTTGGTAAAAAAAAAAAAAC